TTTGGGCCCCACAATGAAGACGCCATACTTTAAAAATCGGTCTACGACGACCATGATGGAACCACACCCTTCGACTTTGGGAAGGCCGATGATGAAATCTATGCTAACGCTTTCCCAAGGCCGTTGTGGAGTGGGTAATGGCTCCAACAAGCCCGCCGGACTGCGCGCGCTGCTCCATCTTGTCTTGCTGGCAAACAAAACAAGTCTTGACGTAGAGTTCCACGTCATCCTTCATACGAGGCCAATAGTAAGCCTCCTCGAAGAGATCTTGTGTGCGCTCAATGCCGGGATGACCAGCCCACTTGGAATCGTGGCACTCCCTCATGATCTCCCTTCGTAGTTTGTCCCACTGCGGCACGAACACTCGCTCGCCCTTGGTCACGATGAGTCCGCCTTTCATCCAAAACCGCCGAGTCTTCCCTTGCTTGATGTACTCGACCACGGTTTTGGCGAAGGGGTCGTGCCCAAGGCCTTCTTCAATCCGTTCCTTCAAGGGGAATTGCGGTTGGCTGATGGCGGCAAGTGTGCTCTTTCGGCTAAGAGCATCGGCAACAAAGTTGGCTTTCCCCGGCTTGTACTCCAGCACAAAGTCGAACTCCGCGAGGAAATCTTGACACCTTGCTTGCTTGGGCGTGAGCTTCTTCTGTGTGAGGAAGTAACTCGTCGCCACATTGTCCGTCTTTATAACGAACTTCAACCCAAGCAAGTAATGCCTCCACGTTCTCAAACAATGGACCACCGCCGTCATCTCCATCTCTTGCACCGCATATCTCCTCTCGGCCTCATTGAGCTTGCGGCTCTCAAATGCAATTGGGTGTCCCTCTTGCATCAACACTCCACCGATTGCAAAATCGGAAGCATCCGTTTGCACTTCATACGCCTTGGTTGGATCGGGGAAGTGCTAGCACTGGCTCCTTCGTCATCGCATCCTTCAAGGCTTTAAATTCTTCGCGGCACCGATCCGACCATTCCCAATCCTTGTTCTTCTTTAGAAGATCCGTCAAGGGTGCTGCAAGAGCGGAGTATCCCTTGATGAATCTCCTATAATAGTTGGCCAGGCCGAGGAATGATCGTAACTCGGTGACCCTCGTTGGTGGCTCCCATCCTTGTATCGCCTCCACCTTGGCTTCGTCCATCTTTAGCTTGCCTCCGCAAATGATGTGGCCAAGGAAAGGAACCTCCGCAGCTGCAAACGTGCACTTCTCCTTCTTGACGTAGAGCTCTATGTCTCGAAGGACTTGGAACACTTGTCGTAAGTGCTCGGCATGTTCATCGAGTGTGTTGTTGTACACCACGATGTCATCCAAATACACCACCACGAAGCGATCCAAGAACGGCTCGAATACTTGGTTCATCAAGGTGCAAAAAGTAGCAGGAGCGTTGGTTAGACCAAAAGGCATAACTAAGAACTCATATGAGCCATACCTCGTCACGCATGTCGTCTTCGCCTCGTCCCCCTCAGCTATCCTCACTTGATAGTACCCCGAGCGAAGATCAAGCTTCGTGAAACACTTTGCTTCTCCGAGTTGATCAAACAAGTCACCAATATTGGGGATTGGCCACTTGTTCTTCACCGTGAGCTTGTTAATAGCTCGATAATCGATGCACATCCGCAACGAACCATCTTTCTTCTTCTGGAACAACACAGGTGCTCCATAGGGGGATTTAGAGGATTGGATGAATCCAGCATCCATCAACTCCTTCACTTGCTTCCACAATTCCTCCAACTTATGAGGGGCCATGCGATAAGGTGCTCTTGCTGGTGGCGTCGCCCCTTGCTCAAGCTCGATCTTGTGATCGACTTCTCTTCTTGGCGGGAGCTTCTTTGGTAGTTCCTTTGGCATCACATCCACGAACTCCTCCAACATGCCCTCGATGAGAGGTGTTGGCGCCACCGAGCCTTCTTCTTCCTTCGTTTTCATAGTGACAAGGAACATGGGTTCCATCCTCTTCATTCCCTTCACCAATTGCATGGCCGATAAAGCTCCCTTCGGCCCTTCTTCGCGCAACATCTTCACCGCGCAAAACTTATCTCCCTTGTTAAGTCAAAGAGTGTTGGAATTCATTGCCATCACCGCGCGCTCCTTCTCCATGAAGTTGACGCCAAGAATGACCGGATGATCATCCATAGTGATGACGCTGAAGTCGGCAACACCTTTCCAGCCTTCGATCTTCAATGGCACGTTCTTGGCAACACCATGGATGGGTATTGCCTCGGAGTTGACGTTCTTGAGCGATCCTTGCCTCTTCTCGTAACCAATCCCAAGTGCTCCGCCTCCTCCACTCGAAGGAAGTTGTCGGTCGCACCAGTGTCAACCAATGCCTTTGACTCGCCTCCTTCGAATTGAGTGATCACAAAGAATCTCCCCTTGCTAACTTCGTTGGAGCCGGACTTCGCCGCGCCTAGCCTCCGCATGGAGCCTTTCTTCCCTTCATCTTCCCTAGCATTCTCCTTGGTCTCCCCTTCTTGTTTCTCCAAGGCTGCTAACTTTGGGAAATCTCGCACCTTATGTGGACCATTGCAAAGGAAACAAGACATGGGTTTGTAATAATTACCAGATCTTGCTCCCTTGCTCGGGCCTCCATGTTGGTACGAGCCTTTCCCTTCTTTGGAGTGCTGCCGATGATCTCCTCCTCCTCTGCTCTTCGAGTTCTTCGAATCGTTCGGCCTCTCACTCTTCTTGTACTCCGTGAGAGCCTCTGCCGTTGCCAAGGCAGTAGCAAGATCTTGCACTCCCCGCCTCTCGAGCTCCAACTTTGCGCAAGGATGCAATCCGAAAAGGAAGCCAAACAAAGCCTCCTTGTCCGGCTAATCGGGGATCTCGAGCAGCAATTCTGAGAACTCCTTGACATACTCACGAATTCCGCCGGTGTGGGTGAGTCGTCGAAACTTTGCACGAGCTTCCATTTCCACATTCTCCTGGTAGAACTGCCTCTTGATTTCCCGACGGAAATCCTCCCATGTGTCAATCACACATGTACCTCTCTCTATATCACCTTGTCTTCTCCTCCACCAAACCATGGCCGTGTCGACCAAGAAAAGGGAGGCGGTGTGCACCATGACTTCGTTATCATTGATGCCGGAAGCCTTGAAATACTGTTCAAGACTTCAGCGGAAATTCTCTAATTCCCTCGCGTTCCTCGACCCACCGAAGTTCTTCGACCTTGGAACATCCAATCGTGGGGTAGATTGGGTCGCGGTAGGTCCGTTAGCCACGACTCGTTTGACGAGATTGAGCTCTCCACGAAGCTCGTCAAATTCTTCCCTCACTTCGTCCACCTGGCCTCGAACGGTCTCCCTCAAGGAGTCGATGGCGTTGGTGATGATGGTCACAAAATCGTCTCTGAAAGCTTCTAACCCCACCTCTACACCTGCCATTCGAGTGCCCATGCCTTGCATGTCGTCCTTCGAAGTCTGCACCTCTGTGCTGACTTGATTGAATTTCAACTCCATGTCCTCGAACATGGTTGTATGCTTGGTTCTGATACCACTTGTCACGAACCTACTCTCGGCCGTGCGGCACTTAGCACTCAAGTCTCGTTAGAGCACTAAGTCAGCCTTACTCGTATTCACTCAAACTCACAAGTTGGGAGAAAAGCTCTTGAGATGGAAAGCTCTCTTATTTCTGGATGAATGAAAAGTGATGGAGAGGGCTGCATATATAGGCATCCTCTCCACTAAGTACAATGTATATGGCCGTCATAAATGAACGAACCTAGAAGTTCCCCCATACATGAACTTGCCTCATACATGAATGTAATAAATAAGGTGCTTGAATAAAAGATAGATAAGGGGGATGCATGTACATTGGTGCATGAATCGCAAGATGCATGCATGTACCTACATCCTTCTAGAATGCTCTAGAATCTTCTGCGTAACAGTATCTGCGGGTTCATGGGTACCCGTGGGTTTTTGTGGTAAAAAATTTACAATAACAAATTTCTTTCAAAATAAAAGTTTAACATCAATTTTCTCATACAAATTATTCAAACAAAAAATACCAATCTAGAACATACAAGCAAACCGCAAATGATCAATACAAATTGTTCAAAATTAAAGATAAACATCTATAAACAAAAAGATTAATTGAAATCTTCTTCCTCGTCAAATAAGTTTCTTCACTCTCCACTCCATAATATCAACTTCATTCTAAATAATTAGAAAGAACAAATTATACATGTCTCCACAAAACATAAATAATATTAGTTCTTTAAAGAAGATATATTATTTAGAATATTAAATATACCGGGAAATTAATTATATGTGTGTGCGGGTACCCATGGGGCGGGTTTACCTAAACCCAAACCCAACCCGGTGAATAGTGTAGCGGGTTTAAACCCGAACCCGGCCCAAAACCCGTCAACACGGGTTTTACCCGCGTTGACCGGGTTCGGTCGGGTGGGTACCCGTGGGTTCGGGTTTTGTTGCCATCCCTAGTGACAAAGGCAATTGGTTTCTTTACAAGTGTACAGCCATATAAAAATACATACCATACATTGAGGAGCTTCTTTATAAGGACCCATTTGCAACTTCTCTGTTCCAAACTAAGGCATCATTATTGTTTCCTCTTGATGGATGGAATGGTGGTCCTTCCAACATGTCATATCAATTTTGAAGTAAAGAATTCATTAGAAGAAGATGGAAGTAAGAGGTTTCGAAGGGTGGAGCCTCCTACTGAATCAAGTCCATAAGCCCTCTCCACTTGTCATGCCACCTGCTTCGGATTTGGGACTCCACATCACTAACGAGAATCTCAATATCAATGAGGTTTTGGTTGGAGTGAAACTTAGGAATAACCATTTAACTAAATACGTAAAAGAAGCCCTTGTTGGGAGGCTACCCAACCCATCGGTTATTTTGTTTTCTTTTCTTTTTTCAAATTGTGGGTATTGGGCATTTGGAGTCAATAACCAAAACGTTGTGAGTTTTTGTTATGTTTAGTGGTTCGAGCTACTCTCCTTTACATGGACTAACCTCTCTTTCCATACTGACGTTCTTCACTCATCCATTAACTTTGTTCCCCTTACATATTTCATCTCCATTCAGGACAATGTCGCGCTTAAGTCTGGGCGATGTTTCATTGTTAATAGGTGTGAATTAATGGTTGGATTGATACAGATTTCTCGTTACCTAGTGCACTATCCAAAAATTTAAAATTTGGGGTCTCCAAACGAGTTTGACTTCTTGTGCTTGATCATAGTGTGCATTATTTTGAACCTGTTGTGTTGTTAATCTTGTGGCTCATTGATGTCGATGCATGAATAGCATGATTGAGGTTGAAAGAGACCAATGATAATGATTGAATATTGAAGTGAGTTTGTGTACTTAGCCTCGTGGGATGAATACTGCTGCTGAAATTGGTACTGGTGGTCCATGAGCTACTGGTTTTGGAACCCAAGCAGCTGGACCTGGAGACCCGTATGGTGGAACTGCTCAGTGAAGATATCCATCGGCATAACAGAAGGACCAGAGGTGGAATGACCACGCTCGGGTCTCCATCGTGGAAGAAGATCTCCTGGGGGAAAGTGGGGGCTCCGACTCCTCGGCATTCATAGGCCCACCATCATCATCGTCATCCTCAACCTCTCCAGTGTAATCATCATCATCATCCTTATTATCTTCTTCTGGTAGAGGCAGTCGTATGGTTGGCCTCGAACGCTTCCCTCTGGTAGGCAGGATGGGTGATGCGGCGGTAGAAGTCATCCTGGTTACATTCAGTGGGATGGGGGGACCTCCTTCTCGTATCGGGAGTATCGGGAGTACAGATGGTAGTGGATCCGCAAGGCATGAGCTAACCCATCGATGCTCATCTCCCGCATGTGCCCGCCGAGTCGGAAGGTGACACCGATGGTGGAGCCGCGAGCCGCCTTGGGCCAGTACTTGAATGTGGAGTAGAACTCCTAGACCAACTCCATGAAGGTGGAATCATGGGTGGTCAGGAGAACCAGGAAGTGGAGCTGCTGGAAGACTCGAAACTCGAGGTGATGGTGGCGGTGAAACAACCTGTTGATGAACCTGGCGTACTGGTCAACAAAATCAGGGTGAAGGTGCAGGCCCTACACGTACGGGTGATCGAGAGACATGATCCTTCAAAATAAGAAAACCAAAGGTGGAGCTAAGAAAATTTTTGTTAAGACTGCAAGTAGGGATTTGACAGTTCCCCCACAGTTAAGGACCACCTACCTAGTCAATAAAGCACAAACTAGTTGATTCGCACGTAAAACAACCACAGTTCAAGCATGAATCATGGTAAAGACGGGCAATTGAAGCAATTAGGCACCTAATACGCTCTATAAGATCACATCCACTGCATCCCTCACCCTAATCTAGGTCAAACATGTCAATCAATTCACAGTTCTCAGGCCTAAAATCTACAGTCCAATTTTCCAGAAAAAGTAAAAATTATTCAAGACACACACTTGGAAACACAAGTAGGACTATAGAGGGACGCGAGTAAAGGGTGAGCGACGCGAAACCACACCAAAACTCGACCCAGAGGTCTCGCCGAAAACTCGCCTAAGAGTCTCCGGAAAATCGTCGGCGGCGAGGAGGAGGGGCGCCCCGCAATGTTGATCCCGAATCCGCGAACATATTTTGATTTGAAGGCCGTACGCAAACGGGATCTACAAAACCCCGACGGAGAACCGCGCTCCGATGACAAAACAGGGGAGGAAGAGAGGGTAGAGAGAGGGGATTCTGAAAAAAAATGAGAGGAGAGAGAAAGCTGGTCGGGTATTCGAAGCCTGCGGCTAGATATTCCACCTTCTGACATGCCCTATGACTAGAAGGGGTCCGGGCCATGAGGCCAAAATACCTGGTCGGGTATATTGAGTCACGATCGGGTATTTACCCTTTTCTCGCCCCATGACGAGAAGGGGTCCCGGCCGTGAAAGCCAAAATACCCGGTCGGGTATTTTGAGTCACAGACGGGTATTTACCCATTCTCGGCCAAAAACTTCTTTTGCTAATTTTTTCAAACTCTCCAGCCAGAAATCACTAAACCGAGGTATACCAGACAACCTGACTTCATCACATACGTGCAACTGACTTGAACACACCAAAAAATAAAGGAAAAGGGAAAAAAGAAATGCAAACCGTGGTGGGGTTGCCTCCCCACAAGTGCTTTCTTTTACGTCTTTAGCTAGACGCAGCCAGCGAAACTAAGGGCCCGCGAGTTCAACTAACAACTCCGCATGCTTGACCTCGTCTCCCAGATAGAGCTTGGGACGATGGCCATTCACTTTAAACGACTCAGTCTACGGGTTGGCAATCTCTATCGTGCCATACGGAAACACTTGCGTGACCGTGAACGGTCCAGACCACCAAGAACGGAGCTTTTTAGGAAAGAGTTTCAGGCGAGAGTTGTAGAGAAAAACTCGATCGCCAACTTGAAACTCCTTCGTACCCCCCAATCAAGCGTCGTGCAGATGCTTAGTGCGCTCCTTGTACACCTTGGTGTTCTCATAGGCATGGTAACGCCATTCCTCAAGCTCCAGCATCTGCATCTTGCGTTCAGCACCTGCAAGACTAACATCCAAGTTGAGCAGCTTTAAGGTCCGGAAGGACTTGTGATCTAGCTAAACCGGCAGGTGACATGCCTTTCCATAGACAAGCTGATACGACAAAGTAACGATCGGCGTCTTGTAGGTAGAGAGCATCATCGAGCTTGGTGGACCAATCCTTGCGAGATTGATTCACCATTTTCTCAATTATCCGCTTAAGCTCCCGATTCGTCAGCTCGGTCGGACCACTTGTTTGGGGTGGTAGGCCACGGACACCTTGTGAGTGACACCATAGCGAGTGAGTAGTTTATCGAATTGGTCCTGAAAATGGGTGCCTCTGTCGCTAATGTTGGCTCTAGGTGTCCCGAACCGGGAGAACAGCTGCTTAAGAAACAGGTAAACACGTCTAGTATCATTGGTGGGCAAAGCTTGCGCTTCAGCCCACCTAGAGACGTAATCAATAGCAAACATGATGTATAGATTACCAAATTATAGAGGAAAGAGGCCCGTGAAATCGATACCCCAAACATAAAAAATTTAACAAGTAATAAACACATTCTAGGGCATCTCATCACGGGCAGAGATGTTACCTGACCTCTGGCATCGGTCGCACCTATGTGCGAAGGTGTCGGCGTCCTTGAAGAGCGAAGGCCAGTAGAAGCCCGACTGTAGTACCTTCCTCGCCATGCGGTTATCGCCATGTTGCCCGCCAATAGGTCCCTCATCGCAATGAGACAGAATTCCCTCCATCTCATATTCCATGACACAGTGATGGATGACCCCATCGGCTCCGATCCTGAAGAGATGCTCGTCATCGCGGAAGAAGTGCTTTAGGTCAGAGAAGAACTTCCTCTTGGCGTGATTCGTCATCCCCTTGGGCAGTTGCTGGCCCACCAGATAGTTTCCGAAATCGAAGAACCAAGGGGTGACACTCCCCACCAGGCACATCATCATCAGTCGCTCATCTAGAAAGGAGTCGTTGATCTCCTCCTGGAGGTTGTCCGCAGGATGTGCGTCCAACCGGGAGAGATGATCAACAGCAATATTTTCGGCTCCCTTCTTATCCCGGATCTCGATGTCTAACTCCTGTAGTAGTAAGATCCATCGTATGACCCTAAGCTTGGCATCGATCTTGCTCATCAGGTATCGTATAGCAGAGTGATCCGTGTACACTATCACATGGGACAAGACCAGATAAGGACGAAACTTGTCAAAGGCGAACACCACCGCTAGCAGTTCCTTCTCTATGGTGGTGTAGTTCTCCTGGGCATCATTGAGGGTATTCGAGGCGTAGTAGATAGACCGGAAATGTTGATCTCGCCTCTGCCCTAAGACAGCTCCAATAGCAAATTCACTTGCGTTGCACATCAGCTCGAATGGTAAGGACCAGTCAGGAGTGACCATGATAGGAGCATGAGTGAGCTTCTCCTTCAAGGTTGTAAATGCTGTTGTGCACGCGTCAGTTAACTGAAAGGGGGCATCCTTCTCAAGGAGCTTCGTGCCTCTGTCCACCTCTATCCCCATCTTGGAGATCTTATGCCCCATAACTATGCATTCGCGAACCATGAAGTGGCACTACTCCCAACTCAGCGCTAGGTTTGTCTCCTCAGACCTTTTTAGGACGAGTTCCAGGATATGGAGACAGTGAGAGAATGAATCTCCATAAACCGAAAAATCATCCATGAACACCTCCATGATTTCTCCAACAAGAAGGTCAAAGATGGCGAGTATACATCGCTGAAATGTGGTTGGGGCATTGCAAAGCGCGAATGGAATTCTTCGGTAAGCAAATGTGGCGAAAGGTCAGGTGAAGGTGGTCTTCGCCTAGGCTTCCGGGGATATGGGAATTTGAAAATACCCGGATATCCCATCCAGGAAACGGTAGAACTCGTGCCCCGCCAGCCACTCCAGCATATGGTCGATGAACGGCAGTGGGAAGTGATCCTTCCGGCTGGCGTCGTTGAGGTGACGATAGTCGATGCAGACGCGGTACTTGGTCACCGTGCACATCGGGATGAGCTCATTCTTGTCGTTGGGAACCATGGTCATCCCACCCTTCTTAGGCACCACCTGAGCGGGACAGACCCACTCTCTGTCAGAAATGGCGAAGATGATTCCAGCGTCCATCAGCTTAACAATCTCTCCTCGAACCACAGCCTCCAGGTTAGGTGTCAATCTCCGCTGGGGCTGTCTCACCGCCGAATCTCATCCTCTAGCAATATCCTGTGGGAATAGAAGGAAGGGCTTATCCCCCTGATATCAGTGATCTTCCATGCCAGAGCTTGATCGTACTACTTCAACAAGGCCACCAGTCTGGTCTTCTGCTCGGGTGTGAGGGTCGAGCTGATGATGACTGGAAGTTTGTAACCTTCTCAGAGAAATGCATACTCCAAATTAGGAGGGAGAGGCTTCAGCTCCAGTTCTGGTGGCTCCTCCAGAGAGGTGGTAATGCGAGTCGAGGATGAGATCGGCTTGAACAGTTTGTCGACCTCCAGGAACTCACCACTCTCTAGCGCAACCAACTGCTCCTTCAGCTGCATCTCCTGCGATGCATGTTCACCTAGCAAAATACAACGCTCATGGGCATCGTCAAAGCCCGCACTCGTGATGGCGAGTGCAATTTCAAAATCAGCAAGCCTGTCACAATAATCCAAGTCATCATGCAAATGGGAATGCTTCACATTGTCAGACACAGAAAATTTAGATTGTTCATCCCCAGCCCGCAAGATTAACTTGCCACTATGCACATCAATCAACCCCTTGTCGATGGTGAGAAATGGTCTAACCAAAATCAAAGGCACATCCATATCATCATTTATATCCAGAATAACAAAATCGACAGGATATGTGAATGCACCCACGTTAATAAGCAAGTCCTCTATGATACCCCTAGGAAGCACAATCGAGCGATCAGCTAACTGAATACTCATTCTAGGTTCACCTAAGCCTAGCTTCTTAAACAGTTTATAAGGGATGACATTAATGCTAGCGCCTAGGTCCGCCTCGCTCAGCATCACTGTCGAGAGATCTCCAAGTTTCTTTTTTTTTTTGTGAGGAGATCCTTCATAAATTTTGCGTACTTGGGCATCTTCGACAGTGCCTCCACGAACGGCATGCTGATATTGACCTGCTTCAACATTGCCAAAAATTTGGCAAACTCAGTCTCCAGCTTGACTGTGCTGTTTTAGCGAGCTATTCCTCCAATCTGATTCTGGAGATCATGCAGTATGGCATCCTGGTTCCTCTGGCCTGCCTCCAGTGAGGTGATGCGATGGTCCAACCTAGCGAAATTCACCGTGTTGGAGCTCACGAAGGTCTGCACCATGTTTTTCAGCGCCAACATCAAGTCATCCTGTGCTGGGGCTACTGCCAGCTGGGCAAACTATCGTTGCTACTGCTGGATTGGTTGCCTCTATCTGGGCTGACAGGGCTGTTGTTGTTGAAATGGACCCTGTCGGGTCTAGAATGGCTTCCTTTGCTGAAAGCCTCCAGCTGGTGCTGGGAAACCGAGAGGTGACTCGCTATGACACAACTCCTAACAATGGACAAGTGTAACGAATGAAAGGGACTGCAATATAGTGGCTCAAGTAATAAATATCGAATCCACGGGTCTCTAGAGTTACTATTCCTCAGCTTTAGTTCATTATCTAGCAAACCATATTAAGATGGAAGAACTAAAACTACTCTAACAAACTACAGTTAAAGTTAATCTAATTACAGGTTGGGAACTCACTTAGGTATGATTCCCCCTAGCCACT